CCGTCCTCGAGAAGTGCTACACCGACTACCGAAAGCATCTGCTCGCGGAAAGTCTGAAGCTGGCCAAGTACCTGGGCACTCCTGAGCCCTCGGCCTCTGCTGCTGCTGGTGGTGCTGCCACCCCGTCCTCTGAGATCCTCGCTCTGCGTCATCCGGCTCTGGTGCGCGTCTTCGACACCTTCGTCTCTGATAAGAAGGCCTACATGTTCATGGAGCAGCTGTCCACCATATCGCTCTCCTCGCTCATCAAGGTCGACCCCGGTCTCAGTCTGGACGACACGCAGACCTTTGGACGGCAGATCTGCGACGCGCTGAACTTCCTGAACCGCCTCGGTCTGGCCCACCTGAACGTCCGCTCTGACAACATCCTCTGGAATGAGGGCAAGCAGCAGATGAAGCTGTCCGGCCCTAGCCGCCTCTTCGTCTGCTGGGACGTCGACCTGGAGGCGAAGATACTGCACCCGCGCATCAACAACCACAACTACGTGGACCACTTTCCGCCGGAGGTGGTCGGCAAGGGAGCGGACTTTGACCCCTCCCTCGTCGACGTCTACAGCTTCGCCGCTCTGCTCCATCAGATGCTCGTCCGTGAGAAGCTTTTCGTCCGCCAGATGCCCTTTCACGGCACTGAGAGCACTAAGGAGATGTGGGAGGGTCACCTTCTGGAGCGCAAGGAAAAGCTGAAGCGAGTGCCCGAGTCGGCCATGGCTCTGCTCAAGCAGATCGTTCCCGTGAAGGCCGAGGAGCGTCCCTCGCTGCAGCAGGTCCTCCAGTGTGCCTTCTTCTCCGCCACTCAGGAGGCCATCGAGGCGGAGATCTCCGCTCCGAAGGTGGCCGTCCAGTGAGTGTGTGAGCAGCAGTCTCTACCTGCTCCATCATCTCACCAGAGGACATCTTACCAGCCACTTCTCCAAGCTGGCTTTCAAATTGTTTTCAATCTTTTTTCCGTTTTTATTTTTAAAAGTTTGTAAATTGATTTTTCTTGGAAATGATTTAGCAACTGATGAAGACATTGGGGCAAAACTAGATTGAGATTTTTTAAAAATAAAAATTTATTTTAGAAAAAGTAATTAAAATGCGCCAATAAGGTAGGAGCGCAGTTTGGAGAGAGGGGAATGAGGTGGCCAAGGTTGACCGCAAGATGCAGCGCTACTTCTTGGCAGGCGCTTTCGAGTCGGCCTTCGAGGCCACGTGGCTGCCCCCACCAGGCTTAGAGGTGGCCTTCGATCCGCCGCCTCCGCCTCCCAGCGAAGACTTTGATCCGCCGCCGGCCTTGGACGGAGCAGCTGAGCCGACAGAGGAGGCCTTGCTGCCTCCTCCTCCTCCTCCCGGAGCTAGCGAGCTTTTCGCGCCAGCGGAACTTCCCGCAGCCGAGCTTCCGCCCACGGAGCTACCAGCAATAGAGGAGCCGCCGCCCACCTCAGAGTAGCCGATTTTGCTACCGGCCACGGAGGATCCGGCTTTGGAGCCAGCCACTGAAGAAGCTGCCTTGCTGCCGCCGGCACCGGCCACCGACGAGCCAGCCTTTGAGCCGGCCACCGAAGAGCCCACCGCCGAGGTGGCCACCGAGGAGCCGGCAAAGGAGGAGCCGCTGATCGCTGAGCTGGCGCCGCTCGTCACCGATCCGGCGCCGCTGATGGCCGACTTGCCCATCGCCGAGGAGCTGCCCGCCTTGGACAGCTTCGATCCGGCGCCCGAGATGGCAGACTGGGCGCAGCTGCTGCCGCCGGTGCCGCTGGCCGCTGAGAGAGTGCTCTGGCCACCGACTTTGGAGCCGCTGGCACTGGAGAGCACTGAAGAGCCGCCTGCCTTGGAGCCCACCTTCGAGCCCATGGAAGAGCCCAGTTTGGATTTAGAGGCCGAAGTCGGCGGTGGCTGCTTTGCTTCCTCCTTCGAGGCCACCTTCGAGGGCGGCTTTTCCTCGGCCACCTTGGAGGGCGGTTTCTCTTCGGCCACCTTTGAGGGCACCTTGGGCTCGGCTGAGGCGGAGGGAGTGGCTGCGGCGCCAGTTCCCGAAGCGGGAGCATCAGCCACGGCAGAGGGCGGACGTTCAGAGGGAACTGCAGAGGCGGCCGCGTCAGCTCCTTCACCGCCACCACCGCCACCACTCGACTTTTCGCTGACCTCAGTCGGCGCGCCTCCCTGATCTTCCAAATCGTCCTCTGAAAATGGCAAGAGTATTAGTTAAAGGGTTGACAGTACTCCAGCACAGCAATGGGATGACTTACTGGAGCCGCCGCAGCCCATTGTGCTGACTTGGTTTGGGTGTGGCGAGAAAGCAAACACCAAGCAAAAGAGAACTCAGGTAGAGTTGAGCAGTGGAGAGAGAGAGCGCTAAAAGTTGGCAAATGCAAGGCAACACACTAAGTCAGCAATAACCGAAAAGTGACTGGACTACAGTGGCTTTTGTAGTCCACTCCAAATGTTCGAAATGTTGGCCGCCACCTTGCAGCAACAATTGAGCGATTGTTGCAAGCTTATTTAGAACTTAAACTCAACGTATGCTTTGCGTTAGCAGGAAATTCTTTATTTTTTTATTGAAAGTTTTGTCGAAAAAGGCATTGCTAATCGGTTGCAGATACATTGGCTGAGGTGTCTATGCGAATGATGCGCATCCAGGCTCGGTCGACGAAAACGACGGCGCAGTCATTGTCGTTGCCTGCGAAAACAAAGTTAGAATGAGGCTTTTAGTACCGAAAACCTCTAGTTAAGCAAAGGTATTCTTTCCTTACCACAGTAGTGACTGCATGAGAAGATGGTGGTGCACTTGAAGTTAAAGTGAAAGATAAAGCCAAACTTGGGAACCTCGTGTGCTCGAATGATGTGCGTCAGTTGATTGTCGGCGAGGAAGGTGCCCGCCCCTTGGTCGTTGAAGAAGAAGGCCGTCGCCCGTTTGGTGTTGTAGATAAAGCCGGGCCTCAGGCGGGCGATCTGCTCGGCGTCCAGCAGTTGTATCGCCTCGCGAAACATCTCCGGCGCCATCGGATCGGACCACATGATCTCCCAGGCGACGTCGCACTCGTGCTCCGGGTTGACCAGCTCCACCGGAATGGACGAGCAGATCTCCTCCAACGTCTGCGCCGAGTAGGGCAGACCGCCGTGTGCGCAGTAGATGTTCTCGTCGACGACTGCACAGAGCGGCATGTGGTCGAAGATGCGATTGCTCAGCGCCCACACCTCCTGCCCGTGGGTGTCGCCGTACTTGGACCGGCACTCGTAGTAGTACGTGTACTTCACCTGAATGTCCCGCACCTCGTGGTTGCCCCGCAGCAGCGTCACATTGCCCGGCCGGAGGATCTTCATCGCAAAGAGGTACAGGGCGCACTCCACACTCCACCGGCCGCGGTCGACGTAGTCGCCCAGGAAGAGGTAGTGCATGCCGTTCACCTCGGGAAAGCGCCGCCACAGGGTCCGCTCCATCGACAGCAGGTCCTGGTGGGTTTTAAGTGCAACCATTAGGTTACTATGGTAATTATATACTGTCAAATACTTGCCTCGAGGTTTCCGTGAACGTCTCTGTAGAAAGAAAGGGAAATCGCTCAGTAAATGGTTGAAGATTAGTTTTTGTGATGACTTACCCAATGATGTAGACCGGCGAGGTGACCGGCTTACAGCGGGGCTCACTCGCCAGCAGCGGAATGATCTCCGATGCGATCGCCCTCAGCAGCCGTACCAGACTTTCCCTGTCCTCCTGTTCGGTCATCAGACCGTGCATTGGCTTGCCCAGTCCGGCACCGGCTCTAGGCTTGCTCTCATTGTACAGCCGAATGAGGGCCATCAGCTTCAGCGCATCGGAGATGATGTCAGAGCGAGGCTCGGCGGCAAAGTTGGCCACCGACTGCTCCGAACTGGAAGTGCCACTCTCCTCGGCTGTTGCCGCTCCTGGCGACTGTGCCGGTGGCTGCAACTCCTCAACCGCCACCGACTGACCGTCTTCAGAAGAGGCAAGCAGGAGGTAGCCGTCGACGCCGACCACCGCCAGATGGGCCGCCACTCGGTACTTCTTTGCCCTGCAACCCTGGCAGCTGCCTTGGTAGCCCTTGCGCGTCACCAGCCGCGCCAGTCTGCCCTTCGCCACGGAGGCGTTCATCTTCACAGCTCGGGCGGCGATCCGGCGGTTGACCTTCGCAAAGACATTACACCGCGATCGACAGAGGGTGGAGGTGCCGCGGAAAGCGTGCGAGCCGACGCCCTGCAGAAAGCTGCTGAAGGTGACCACCGCCGGTGCGCCCTCTTCTCCGCCCTCCGCCGGCTTTGTTCTGAAGCAGGCCATCGCCTCTGCGGCCTTCCGCTGAATCTGCCCCTCATTGAGCACCACCCGACCGTGCTTGTCGACGTTCATGTCCGCCACTATCAGCGCAAAGTCCTCCTGAGAAAGGACGGTGCGTGACCGCGTGTCGTAGTAGTTGAAAACGAAACGAATGCGAAACTCGACGTGCGGCGTCTCTCGCTCCATGCAGATCAGCCCTAGCAGTAGTTCATTGAAGCTGAGGTAGCCGTTGGCGGCGCGGTTGAAGGCGCGGAAGAAGCGCTTCAGCCGTGTCTCATTCTTCTCGAAGCCATTGCGCGAGAGGTAGTGCCGAAAGGAGTCGTAGGTCATGTAGAAGCTCGGGTAGCAGTGGTCGAGGTAGTCTGAGAAGAGACGCTCAATGTCGTTCTTGTTCGTCTTAATCTTCCTCAGCGACTCGGTGTAGGTATCGTGCACCTGCACGGGGCCATCAAGTCGGGGCAGAATCTCGAACAGCTGCTCGACACTTTGCTCCTGCAGGCGCTGCCGAAAGACAGGTGGTGGTGACGGGCCGCCCTCCTCAGCAGTCTTCACCGTCGCCTCCATGACCAGTCGTGCGAGCTCCACCAGTTCAGGGCCCCAGCAGTTGCGAATGAAGCCCTGGCTGACAAAGTCAATGGCCAGCCACTGCAGTCGGGCGGTGTCGGTGCAGCACTTGAAGCCAGCCTTGGAGGCGGTTGTCTCGGTGGCTGCACTGGTCGGCTGACCACTCTCCGTTTCAGCAGCTGTTGCCGGTACGTTGAGCCGCACGTAAAAGATGTACCTCGCGACGAACTTGTTGGTGCTGGGCATCTGCACGCGGGCCACCTCCAGCAGCAGCAGCTGATCAAAGGGGGCCTTCCGCCTGAAGGCCTCAAAGCGGGAGGCACTGCCCTCTGCGAGCACCTGCATGGCGCCCTCCTTCGCCGAGTCGTACCAGGACATCTTCTGGTGCTTCTGCACGTATGGCAGCCAGATCGCCTCGGTCGGCGACCGGGCGACGGCCACCTTGCCGTGCGACGGACAGTGCAGCACGAAGGCGACACAGTCGTAGGTTTTCTGGTAGACGCTGGTCACCGGACTGGAGGGCTCCAGGTGGGGCGTGGCCAGCTCACGCTCCAGGTCAAAGGACTGCACACTGCGGGCGGGACTCTTGTGAGCGTGGCGAGTGGTTGCTCCAGCAGTGGCTGACGTTCCATTGGTTTGAGCTGTTGGTGCATGAGACGTGGGTGAGTGGTGCACAGGGGATGGTCCCAGGCGAGAGGTGGGCGATCGACTTGAAGAAGGGGGCGCTTGGCTTTGCTGCTGCGGTTGCTGTTGTTCTTGCGGTGGCTGATTTGTCTGCTGCTTGCCCTGTTGTCCTCCTTTCGCCTTGTTCGACTTTTGTCTCCGCTGTTTGTGTTTACTTTTGCCGTCCTTCTTGAAGATGTCAAACAAGCCCATGATAACGGTTGAGAAAGTGTTGAAAGTGCGCAGCACTGTGTAGCAGAAAAACAACTGATAAATTGTGAAAATGAGAACACGATTGCATTTTGGGACAATACCAACTTTATACAATGCTTGACCATTTGAGAAGTTCTTCTTTGTTACAAAGGAAAAAGTTCGATAAGCGGGGTATGTTTCTGTCCCTTCAAGTTATCCTAGAGTCATCACACGTTTTGCACTGCAACCAAGTTACTCTGCTTTCCTACTCTGCTTATTTTTGCACCAAAAGTAAACTATGGAAGTCACCAAACAGTGGGCAGTTCATCTCGGCGAAGAGGAGGAGACCACCGAATTGCACACTGATGATGTCGATCCTAACGGTGGTGAAGGAGGTGGTGGCGGGACCACTGCTCTCATCGTCATTGGCGTCCTCGTGGCCCTGATCGCCCTGGGATTCCTCATATACTGCTTCTTCTGCAAGGGCGACTCCAAGGGAGGGTCCAAAAGCGCCGGCAAGGGCAAGAGCGGCAAGTCGAAGAAAGGCAAGTCGTCGAAGAAGTCGGGTAAAAAATAGAATTGCTCAGAGTAGTCATATGTAGTTTTCACTTTGCTCTTAGTGACGACATACTCGCAATTTATTACTTTAAAAACACCAAAATGACTACATTACATGTTGTTTCTGGACATATTAAAATGTCTTCTTCAAAAAATTTTCCCCTCGATTCTCGCCTCTCGCTCGCCCATGCAAAAGACGGTAGCCGTCATGTTGACTTTCCGTAAGTCGCCCGAAGATGGCTCCGGTTCGCTGCCCTCTCTCGCGACGCAGAGTGCCATCACCCAAACCTTGTTCCTCTGGTTGCGAATCTTAAAGTACAATCGGACCTTTTGGTCCTGATTGCAGCCATCGCCGATGTAGTGATCGTAAGTGATGTTCACCTTGAGGAAGTTGTAGATGGACTCCTGAATTCCATTCAACAGCTTGTGCACCCCTGTCAATGTGTACGTAGCTTAAGAAAACGTGTTCTTTTGAAACATACCTATTCACAGGGAACTTACTGTCAAACTCATTGTCAGGGAGTTTGGCCATGTACAGAATAAAGTGCTCCTCTCGCTGTCTGCTGCCAGTAATTTCCCGTACCATTGTTTTCAAAGCATTTGGCAGTTTATTGAACTGCTCACTCACAGCCTTGATGTTTGCCGAAAAGTCATCCTGGTGGCGAAGAAAAATGTGCAGCAGACCTAGGAAAGGATGACCACGAAGGATGCCGCTCTATGGATCATAGTAGCAGGAGGAAAAGTGTTGTTCGTTTGTTATGCTTGCTTTGCTGCGTCACGCCAAACTACACGAAAAACTACTCACCGAGAAGGAGAACTGTTCTGGCGTTTTTAGCTGCAGAATCTTGGTGCGTTTCACCAGCTTTTCCCAGCCCCTTCGAAATGTTTTTCTATCCTCAGCATCAGGTATCTCCTCTCCGGAAAATTTCCACAGGCGCCCGACGCCCTGTCGCCAAAGACTCTCATTGTATCGTCGGGTATTCTCTGTCACCGTTCGCCC